CGGGGTTTGGGGGGTGTTGGTTTCACTGCCACAGGACGATCGGAATCTCAGCCTCCCTGTCCTGAATTGCACCCTAAGGTGGGCGCAGAGAACGGCTTTGGGGGAAAGGGTCCCTTTGGCCTGGCGGAGGCTGACCCGGAGACACCCACGGAGGGACGGATTGCCCGAGATGGGTTCCGTGGCTGGAGAACGCCCGGCTGGTGCAGGGCAGAGGTGCGTCCAGACGTCTGAGGCTGAACGTGCGGAGGGGAAGAGCCAAGGCGCTTCCCACAGCCCCCTGGGCGTGCGCCCTGGGTTGCCTCCGCAACAAAGTGCATGCTGCTGCCCGGAGGAGAAAAGGAGAGCCCCAGGGTGAAGAGCCAGGAGCCGGCGGTGCCAGGAGGGCACGGCAGTTGGGGCTTCGTCTGGTTCCTCTGCGCTGGCTGTGCCGGCGCTCCGTGCGTGCTGGCTCTGCTGGTGTCTGGCCGGCCGGCCCCTTGCTCGCCCTCGACCACAGCCTGCCCTGTCCTTGCAGCACCACCCAAGGCAGCCCCATCACTGCCTCTGGCCTGGCCTGGCCCCAAGCCATGGCCAGCATCCCCTTGGCCCACCCACCCCACTGCCCTACGAACCATGTGTGGGGATTTCAAGAATCCCCCCCCCCCTTCTTCTTCTCTCCCTGGCCTTGGCTCATTCTGGGCTGGACCTGGCTCAGTGGCTGGCTGCAAACGGGGGGGTGTTGGTGATTCTTCTTCCCAAGGGGCAGGAGGTGGGCGAATGGGGCGCTGCCCACCCCCAGCCTGCCTCGCTTTGCCAGCTATGGGGGGGACCCTCGGAGACTGCAAGGGAAGAGGCTGGTGGTGGCCTTTGCTTCTGGTAACCTCCAGGGATGTTGGGTCCGAGCCCCGAGTCAATGGTGGCAAGTCCCGTGTCCAAGTCCCTTATTAAAAACCACCTGTTTTTCCCCCAAAGAAAGGGAGGGGTGGCTTGGTTCCCAGTTGAGCCTCTGGAAGAAAAAACAACAACAACAGGGGAGTCATATGTGCAACTTCAGACTTAATTGCAAGTCCCCTTACCTGGCGACCGTTGGGCATGGGCCCGGGTCGGCGGGCTCTCTGTCCCACTGTCCTGAGTGGGCATCCCTTGGAGGCTGCTGGCAGGGTCTATGGGTGCCCACCCTCAGTGCAGCACCCTTTAAAACCAACATTGCCCTGTTCGGGGGGGGCGGAAGAGAAAAGGGTCCTCCCCTCACGCCCCCAAAAAAGCCTTATCGGTTGGAGCCGAAAAATTCCAAATTCCCCAGGCAGAATTGATTTCAATCTGTTTTATCTAAAATATTTTTACTCCGGCTTTCTCCTCAAAAGAACCCAAAGGAGTCCAAAAACAAACCCTCCATAGGTCTGCCCACTTCTAACTTCCTCCGTTTCCCCCATCTGACCAGCTGGAGAGAGGAGGAAACAAGGAGCAGATCTTCACGCACACCCTGGAGGTCAGTGAGGGAAGCCATGAGGCCAGAAGAGGCAACTGTGGCCTCTGTCTGGTTGCCTTTATTTGGTCCTGCATGAGAAGAGACCTGGATGAGAAGAGACCCAGCCCCCTCTGATCCACCCCAGTGGCCCCCCAGCCCCTGAGGAACACGTGGGGTTCTGAGGCAGGAGATAGCCTTCAAGACAAATCCAACAGGGCAGCTTTTCTCCCGGGGACTATGCCCACCCCCCTTGAAGGCCGTCTCATTCAGCCACCTTAAAAGGCACCCTGTGTTAAGCCAAAATTGGTCAAAAGTTTGGCTGCAGGGATCTGTTCCCCCTGCTGTCGCTGAGTCAGGAGGCCTCGTGTCCTTGAATGGTGTAACTTTGCAGCAACTCTCAACCACATTGGGGGTTTCCACCCAAACCAGAGGTGTGTGTGTGGGGGGGAGTGCACAAGAGGAACAAGAAGAAACCTAAAGGTATTACTCACAGGTTTGGAGTGTGTCTCAAGACTTGCGCCACCTGGCCAGGAACATCTCTGTCTCCAAACAAACAAACAAACAAACAATCAAAACCCAACAATGACTCTTTGTCTTGCCTGAAAGCCTAACCCCTTTAGTGAACAATAAGCTGTGATAGATCTTGACCACTTCCTCATGTGCACGAGGCTGGCAGATTGATTAAAGAAGGGTCAGAAGGACATATACCTTCCCAAGTAGCAACTGTGGCATCGCACTCTTTCTCTCTTTCTTTGAATTACCACTGTGTTTTGTGTGTGCGTGCGTGTGTTGTTGGTTTTTTTTTTCCCCTTTTCTTTTCTTTCCTCTTTCCTCACCAGTCTGGGCTTCCTCTTTGTGACCGGACCCATCCCTCGGCGCCTGCCGCAGCGAAGAGAGACCCTCGCTGGGCTATTTCTCCACAAGGTGAGCCACCTCCGGCTGCACACGGTGTCACAGGCGAGTCCGAAGGCTGCGGGGTGTGTGTGTGTGTGTGTGTGTCGTTCTTTGGAAGCCTGCGGGAATTTCTGAGCTGATGATGATTCAGTGGGAGATGGGAGGATCCGGGGCTGAAGAGGGTGGCTGTAGGACTAGCGGTTTGTGGGAAGTAGCATTGAGATGGAGGGGAATTCACTGGGGGAGCAGTGAACATGTCTTCACATGTGCCAGGAGAAAAATCCCTACACCC